TCTGACTCTTTTACCTGCCCTTGGGACTCTTTTCCGCCTACTGGGGTGCCATGCTTAGCTGTGGTATGAGGGTTTGCCCAGTCTTACCATACCATGGTACCCTGAGAGGCCTTTTTTTTTTTTTTTTTTTTTTTTGGAGGGGAAACTAAGGAGTTTATCTAGGTGTGTGGGGAGGTTGGGGAAGAGACTGAGGATTGGAGAGAGGGGGAGGGGAAACTTCAACTGGGATGTAATATATGGGAGAAAAATAAAAGTTTAAAAAAGAAAGAAATTTCCAGGTGTTGGTGGTACACTCCTTTAGTCCCAGTACTTGGGAAACAAAGGCAGGCAGATTTGTGAGTTTGAGACCAGCCTGGTCTACAGAGCTAGTTCCAGAGCAGGCTCCAAAGCAATACAGAGAAACCCTGTCTCAACGCCCCCCCCCCCCGCCATAAAAAAGGAAGGAAGGAGGAGAGAGAGAGAGACTGGGTTTCAGAATGGCCATGTGCACGGCCATATGATTATACTATGATTAAAACTCAGACCAAGAAAGGCCAGAAGCACAAATGAGAGGTAAGATACTTTTTCATCTTTGTTTTTATTTTACATATATGAATTATGGATGTGTGCGTAACTGCATGTACGTCTGCCCCACACATGTGTTGTGCCTGTAGAGGGAATCAGATCCCCTAGAACTGGAGTTACAGATGGTGGTGAGCTACCATGTGGGTGCTGGGAATAAAACCCAGGTCTTCTGGAAGAACAAGCAGTGTTCTTAACTGCTATGCAATCCCTCCTGAGATTTTTTTTTTTAACAAGTAAAAAATTTTAAGCTGTATTTTTGTTTTAATTATGTGTGTGATTATGTCTCTGTGTTATAAACATACATATGCAGGCACCCAACAAAGCCAGAAGAGGGGCAGCAGATCCCCTGGAACTAGAGCTACAATGGTTGTAGCTTCCCAGTGTGAGCTCTGGGGATGGAACTCAGGTCCTTCGCAAGACAGGGTTTCTCTGTGTAGTCCTGGCTATCTTGGAACTTTGCAGACCAGGCTGGCCTTGAACTCATAGAGATCTGCCTGCCTCTGCTTCCTGAGTGCTGGGATTAAAGAAAGGCCTTTGCCACCATGCACAGCAAATACTCCAGCAAGTACTCTTAACCACCAAGCCATCTCTCCAACCTCTGGAAGCTGAGATGTGAACCCAAATCCTCCTGATACCATATCCCGAAACTTCAACTCCTCTGTGATGTGGTGTTACAAGTTACACGTCAGTTCATGTTGCAGACCCACCCTGTTTTCTCCTAGACCACCACTCCCTGAGGGAAGGCTCTGTATCTGACTCCATATCCTATTTCCTGTGGTAACAGAGCAGTGCTTGCCATTTACTACACAAAGTGTGAAGATTTTTGGAGACAGGATGTCACTGTGTAGCCCTGGCTGATCTGGCACTAACTGGCCCATTCCCCAGTAAGATGAAACCACGTGGGAATACTTAGATTAATAGAAATGGGTTAATACTTAAGAACACAGCTAGCCCATAAGAAACTAGGACCTGGCCAACAGAATGATATCAAATACAGAGTCTGTGTTAATATGGGCTGGTGCGGCAGCGGGACAAGACCAGTGTCGGACAGAAACACCTACTTGTAACATATGGTGCCTCAACATGGCCAATAAGAACTTTCACTTAAAATTCAACAAAAGCTTAAAAAAGGGTTTTAGAAACAAAAGAACAGAGACAAGCAAGGTTTCTTGGTAGCAGCATTTTTCTGGGTTGGACTCTGTTTTGTGAGAGACAAGCAAAGATTTCTGCGGCTCCTTTAAGGGAGGTTTCCTGACTCAGCATAAGCGGCAAAAAACAACACAGCTTTTAAGAAACTCTGCTAACAATTTATTAGTGTGTGTGAGAGCTGACAATGGCAGTGACCACATCTCCAAACCGGCAGCATGCTGCTGGATGGCAGCATAGACCAAGGCGATGAGCACAGCTCTTACTGCTGGTGATAAAGGTACCCGCTGCCATCTTTGATAAACCGCAGCAGAAACAACTATGACTTTCATTTTAGCAATGTTGTTGTTTACCAGCTCAAAGACTCGTGGCCAGAAAAAGATAAAGCTTTACAGTAAAGACAGATTCACATTAAGAAAAAGCACTAAAGGTTTACATTGTGTTTTAAAATATACGTAGGCTTGGGAGAGAAAAAGAAATAAAATGGTTTTAAAAATACAGGGAAGAGCTGGGTGTAGTGGCACACGCCTTTAATCCCACCACTCGGGAGATAGAGGCAAGCAGATCTCTGTGATTGCAAAGTAAACCTGGTATGCAGAGTGAATTCCAGGACAGATAACAATTACACAGAGAAACCCTGTCTCAAAAAATGAAAAAATAGAAGTAAAAGAAAGAGTAATAAAAAAGCCACATAAAGATGGAAAGCACAGAAAAATTATGGATGCTATATGCTATTCTGTTGTCTTTAAATTGTTTAACTGCTGAGGAAATAACAACAACTGATAAAAGAAATGCTGCTGAATCAATCCTATTTATATATTTTAAAAATGCTTTGACTCCAAAATTTAAGTCTAAGGACAAGTTACTGGGGAAAAGGATTTCTATTTTTGTTTCCACAGAAAATAAAAAGCTGTGGATTCCTTCTAGACTAATGTGGTTTGAGCAAGCCAGACCCCCTGAAACAGCGTTCCTGGTGATCCAACATTCAAAACAGCTTGAACAAGGCAGCCTTGCAGACTACAGCCAGGATTTCTGTGTCTTCTTAGGATTCCCCATGACAGCGCCCCCTACCAGCAGGAAGCAGTTTGGAAAGAATGACACCCAAATTCCCAAATATTGTTTATAAACGTTTGTTTTCATTTAAACGGGATTGGTTATAAATGATTAATGACCACAACCAATCTTTTTAAAGGTAGAAAGGGGATAATGGTATAAATATGATTACTTTGTTTTGGAATGGGTTTTCATTTATTGATTACTTTGTTTTGGAATGGATTTTCATTTATTGATACAAATTTAAGGTCAATTTTGTGATATGTATATTTCTCCTCCTTTAGGTATTTTGTTTATATAGCTCATTTAGAAATATAATGCATAAATTAGTACAGATTTTAGATAGTAACCTATGATAGTCAGAACTTATAGTTAAGTTAATTAGGATTTCTAGATATATAGAGATGTATTTAGGATGAATAGGCATTCTTCAAACCTTTCAAAGACCTACAGAATATGGCATTTAAAATGGTTTAGAGTTTTTCTTGACAGTGAGACATAAATGATCCTGACAACACCACCTGAGTCAGAAAGAATGATGGACATTGAAGAAACTTGTTATGGAGTTTACTTCCAATATGGCAAGACTAGCCATTTGGACAAGATACTGCTCTTGTCTGGACTGCTTGACTTTATGCTGTATAAAGTGGACATGCAAGACCCAGAGGAAAGTGACTGCTGATACAAGATGGACATTGCTACAAGGTTCCTGCCTCATGGAAGAGTCTGCCAGACAGTCTGCAGGACACAGAGAAAAGTGACTGACAAACTGCCAATACAAAAAGACAGTTTAAAGTTTCCTGCTTTGCTGAAGAATCTGCCAGACATACTATGGCCTATGGGCTGAAGATGGAACATTACAGAAGAACTTCAGGTGACCAGGCAGTGAGATGTCTCAGTCATTTCTAGAGTTTATATACTATCCTTCTGTGGTCTTTAAAGGAGTTAAAGACAGATAGTTATGGTTGTAGTTTTCCTTAGTTAGGATTAAAGATAAGTTATGTATAAGACTTTAGAGTCACAAAGATAGAATAGATGATGAAATATTTTCTTAAATCTTACTAAATGTTAATGGACTAAATATTGTTAACTGTGATTCTTATTTGATAACTGTTGTGTGATATGTTTTGCTATGTTAAGGCTAAAACTCTTTTTATTTAGACAGAAAAGAGGAGATGATGGGAGATGTCATTCTGTATATATGTTTCTCATACTGGTTAATGAATAAAGCACTGTTGGCCAATAGGAAAGCAAGATAGGAGGGACTAGGAGAAAGGAGGAGGGAGGAAGTAGTAAGGAGGAGTCAGGATGGAGAGACTGGGGAAACCAGACGCCTGCCCCATTTCCCGGTAAGATGAAACCACATGGAAATACTTAGATAAACAAAAATGGGTTAATACTGAAGACAAAGCTAGCCAATAAAAAACTAGTATCTGGCCAACAGCATTATATCAAATACAGCGTCTGTGTATTATTTGGGGCTGGCGCGGCGGCGGGACAAGACCAGTGGCAGGCGGAAAAACCTACTCTTAACAAAATTCACTGAGGTCTGCCTGCTTCTGCTTCTGGAGAGCTGGGATTAAAGTCAAGCACCACACACCAGAATGCAGGCAGGTTTCTGTGAGTTGCAAGCCAGCCTGGTCTACATAGTGAGTTCCGGGACAGCCAGTGATACACGGTGAGACCTTATCTTTAAAACAACAACAAAACACACCAATATTTTTTAAAGACAGTGTCTCTCTTGGTACTGCAATTAAAGGCATGTACCACCATGCCCTGCTCACTCTATGTGTCTTACTTAAATCTTTAAGGACTAGAAAAGAATGAATACTGCTTCTGTAGACCAGGCTGGCCTCCAATTCTCACAGAGCTCTGCCTGCCTCTGCCTCCCAAGTACTGGGATTAAAGATGTGTGCCACCAAACCTTTAATCTCAGCCTTTAATGGCCACTGCCAACAAGAGTAAATACTTATGACGTCATTTCATAAGATTGTGAAGCAAGAAGCTTTGGGAAGTAGGTACCCCCTCAGTTACCTCCAGGCATCTTCCTCAGAAAGGTTGGGGAAAACTGAGGATGCCCTCAGTGCCAATGCACTTTTAGAACTCACACCTTTTGCTCCACTGTACATCTCAGTAGACAGGCATGCAGGCAGGTCAGGCAGAGGGGAGCATGCATGGTTTCCAGTGAGCTGTGAAAATAAGGTTAAGTTTTGACTCATAATTATTTGTGTTTTCTGGGTCTGCATGGTCGATAAATGTTCAACGAACAGTGATTCTGTCCCTCATCTTTCATTGCTTTATGGGACTGCTGGGAACGAAAGCATAACATCCTGCTTTCCCATAAGTTCCTGGCCACTACCCTGGCACGGATTAAAGACATGTCTCTGTGATTAATCAAAACCCGCATGGAAGCACTCTGGCGCTGCTCCTCTGATGTGCTGCCTGCTTCATAGACAGTAGTTCCTCGGCTGCAGTGGCAGTGGAGCCAGCAATGGGGGCGTTTGATGAACTGGCTATGCTAGCCCCAAATGTTAACTATGTCATCTGATATGACTAATGAGGCTCCAGATTTGATCTGTGCAGAGCAGCCCTGCCGTCTAAAGGAGGCTCAGGTTCCATTGCCAGCCTGGGAAGAGGCTGCACTGTTCAGCTACATACTCCATCATGTCAGCTGGAGTCTGGGAGGCCTCTAGTGTTGGAGCTGAGAGTTGTCTACCAGGAGGGTGAGAGAAATTTGCTAGGCCCTGGAATGGATGTGACCCAGTTAAACTAACTCAGCCTCTGATTATAGAAATGAAAACCAAGATCCAGTAAAAGTGGGGAGCTTGACAGAGGCCTGAGCTTTGGAGAGAGAAATAAAGGAGTGGGCACAGGTAAACATGAATGATGATAATGACTGGGGTCCAGTGTAAATATACTTTATAAAGGATTCGACTCTGGCCTGCCTTTCTTCCTCAGCAAAATATTGTCAAGGGGTGAGGTAGACAGAGCCCCTATTACCCCTGTAGTTCCAAAAAAAAAAAAAAAAAAAAAAAAGTCAACAGATACAGGTTTGAGCCAGTTTAATCTTCAGCAGATCAATTCATTTTTTCCAAGCTTTGGTTTCCTCAACCAGAACAGCCAAATACTGCCCACTCAGCCACTTCCTTGAGCCTTGTGAGACTTGACAGAGTTAATGGATGTGAAAGTTAGGAGTCTGCATGTGTTAGTTCCTATTCCCATTATTGCCCTCTCCCAAGAGCTCTGGCTGAACTCTGGAATATGGGTCCACAAATACCTTTAACTCTCTTCTTCCTCCTTCTAGAATACAAGGGACACAAAACCAACTGGTCACCTATAATCTGAACAACTTTCCCAGAAAGCCCGTGACATATAAAGAGGAAGAACACACCCATTGATGTTTAATGTCATTCCACACAGTGGCTGAGCACATACCACATGCCAGACATTGGCCAAACTGTGTGGATAATCAGAGTTGGGTAAAACATGGCCACCTTGTGAAGCTCACCATTTGGTGGAAGAATCAGACATGGACAGAAATAATTATAATGTATGTCAGAATGAAGACGGAATTTCTATCCTGCCTGGTCTCATGCAATTTAGTGCCAAATAAACATGCAGAGGCTTATATTAATCATAAACTGTTTGGCTGATAGTTCAGGCTTCTTATTGGCTAGCTCTCTCCTAATTATTAACCCATATCTATTGATCTATGTATTTCCACATGTTCTTGGACTTACCAGTGATGCCCAGTCCCCTTTCTTCCTTGACAGCTACATGGCATCTCTCTGGCAGCCCCTCTCTGCCTCCCTCTTTCCAGCATTCCTGGTCTGGTAGCCCTGCCTATACTTCCTGCCTGGCTGTTGTCCAATTAGTATTTATTGACCAACACAGAAGAACATCCTCCATCACCAGAAAAATTACATTTGCCACAGGAAAAGTACAAATCATGGGCTTTTGGAGAAAGAGGAGGGGGTGATTCATTCCTCAAAAGGAGACTTGAGAAAGGAGCGTGGGATGTGTGCCTCAGGGACAAGGAGTATAGCCCTGTTGATAGTGCTTACCTAGCGTTCATGGAGCCCCAGTTTCTACCCACAGTCCCACATAAACTGGGTATGGTGATGTATGCTGTAGCCCAAGTACTCGTGGATGGAGCAGGAAAATTGGGAGTTCAAGGCCAGGCTGGATAACCTAAGACAATGTGGTATTATAGTATAGGCAGAGGTAGGCTGTGTCAGGAACCACAAGAAAGAACATCCCAGGTAGAGGGAAAGGTGTGCAGACGGGCAGCTTCTGGGAAGCGTTGGTAACTGAAAGGACAGAACAAAAGTCAAGGGACACAATGATACCCAGCCACTAACTCGTGGCTGAGGTCACCTTGACCTCTATCCTTTAATTAGAATCTCACACGGGCCCTTCCTCAGCAGGGCCAGACTGGTACCCCAGTCAGGAAGAGCCAACAACAAATGACCAGCGAGCAGCAATCACCATCAGATGCAAAAACTCCAGGTCAAGGTGCCAGGTCACCACCATACCTCCAGCCCATGTTGGCTGTGGCAACCACTCCAACACTAGAGCATGACCACAGACAACCAAGACCTTGGCCTGGAGCATGTGGTACGAGCTCTCCTCTCTTTTGTCTATAAAGACCTAGCTTCTTTACAAGAGCTGCTGTCAGGTGGCCCTGGAAGACCCAGGACTAAAGTTGCATGACAGACATGCCATGGACTACCCTAGAGACTCCTATCTTCCCAGTCTTTCCACCCGTCGTCGTGAACTGTTCTTATTGTACAAACACAGTGATAGGAGAGGGAACTCAAACACCAAGAGGACGAAGAAAGAGCAGCCACTTGCACATGCCCTCATGTCTGCCCCACCCCACCTCTGCCTTTGATTTTCAGTTGTGGCACTGACACAACTCTGCACAGTACCGTACAAATGGCTTTTCCTCACTGCTATCTACACAGGCTTATTCTCCTGAGACTGAGCAAAGATGCCAGGACCAGGCATGGTAGTACAATTTTATAATGTACTTTTTGGAGGCTGAAGCAGGAGGAAGGCTAGGTTGAAGCCAGCCTGGGCTACATAGTGGAGCACTGTCTGAAAACATAAAATAAAGTGAAGAAGATATGAAACTAGAAGAGGGATATGGAGGAGTGTTCTGGAAGCAGTTGGGGTAGTTATAAAAATATATTACATGAGCCAGGCAGTGGTGGTGCACACCTTTAATCCCAGCACTCGGGAGGCAGAGGCAGGCAGATCTCTATGAGTTCAAGACCAGCCTGGTCTACAGAGCTAGTTTAAGGACAACCTCCAAAGCCACAGAGAACCCCTGTCGTGGGGAAAATATATATTACAAAATTATCCAAGAATAAACAAAGTTAAACATTAAATTGAGACTTACCATAGATGCATGTTATGGTTTGGATGTGATATATTCATACACCCCCCCTAAAAATATAATTAATTAAATGATTGGTCTAGCTGGTAGTCCTATTTTGACAGGTGCTGGAAACAACATAGGAAGTTGACCTAGATAAAAGAAACAGGTCGATATGCAAGGGCCCTTGGGGGACCTTGATGTGGCCTCTTATCTCTGCTTTCTGTCGTCCATCAGGAAGTGAACAGTTTCCTACTTCATATGTTCCGTGGTCATGATGTTTAGCTTCACCTCAGCTCCTGAGGGAGCCAGTTGACCACAGGCTGAAAACAACTGATTTCTCTCTTGACACTGTAATCCTAGGTATTTTGTTAACAGCCTTGAGAGCTCAGTGACACACAATCTTCAGTGATGACAGCATCATGTCACAGAGGCAAAACATTGCTTGGCTTTCACATTAACTTCAGGTGGCATCTCGGTGTCTCTCTGAAGCCAGCTGATTCTGTAGAGATCATCTTGGTGCCCCACTGAAGCCAGCTGTCTCTGGGGAGATCAGGCCATCTCTTTGAGCCTCTGGCCCTTCTTTTGGCACATGAGAATGATAGCACCTCCCATGCACTCCTGGAAAACTCACACTGTCTTCTCTCCAGTCTCAGCTGGTGCCCTGCCTGAAGCCTACCCTGGTCATGCTGGCTGCTGGCCTCCCTTACTGCACCACATCCGCAGACTTAGGAGTGTCCTGCACACCACCTCTACCCCAGGCTCTGCTTCTGATCTCCCATCAACTTGCTGCTATTCTCATGGGTCACATATGACATGTGAATTTGATGCTAGCTGGGTGATACCTAAATAAGACAGACAGATGCCTAGGGATTGAATAAGGACTGAACATACTATGATCTGGTTCCCAGGCCCAAAATCATTGATAATACTTTGCAGCCATTCTGACAACATAATGATTTTGATCGTGCTGCTCACATCTTGGAGTTTGTTGTGTACAAATAGGACCTCATAAAGAAATCTACCTCTGTGGACCTGGATCTCCAGCAGTGAAACTCCCTTTGGTGGGCTTCCTACGCATTTATTGCTGTTGCTACCAGATGGAAGCAATCACTTGGAAATTTTTTATTTGAACTAAGTTACCCTTGAGAATCAACCGTGTAATAGAAACTTGGACTTTAATAATAGAAAAATTAGTTTGAGCTGAAAAAATAAAACAAAACAAAAACTTGAAATGGAAATGTTCACTAAATGAGAACTCTCCCTGGTGAGAGACTGAATGAGAGTCTCCTAGGTTTTTCCCCTCTTGTGTGACTTTGACTCTTCTCACCACTAGGTTCAACAGTGTAAATAAGAATTTAGGTAAGTCTGCCTAAATTCTGACTGGCTTACCAGTCATGGGCATTAGGTCTGTCACTGTAGTATTCTTTGCTGGAGATTTTGTTGTATTTCAGTTTTGGTTTTTTTTTTTTTTTTTTTTTTTTGGTGTTTCTAATAATGATGCAAGAAATAAATGCCTTGGTATGGTTGATGGCCTGGCCCAGCAGTTCTGTTCCTGCACAGGATGCTAGATTTGGTTCACAGTACCCATGCTGGGCAGCTCATAACCTCCTGTAACTACTTGTAGGAGATCTGGGTGTCTTTTTCCAGACTCCACAGGTACCTGCACTCACATGAACACTTATTTATACACAGAATTTAAGACATTTAAATATTTTAAATATTTCTTTTAAAAGGAAGATCGTAAGCCCAGTCATTGCCAGGGGCTCCAGAACTCTGCCCAAGAGTCCAGCATCTGTTTAGATGTCAGCCTCTGCCTATCCTCAGCCTCCAGTCTCTTTTGGGACTCTTGCTTTTTGCTCCTGCAGAAGACTTTATGTTAGCTTTGCTTGTTGCCCACCTGTTGGGACCCTGTGTGGAAATCATCCAGGGCTCTTCTAGGCCCACTAACAGATAGCCAGCCCTTCCCCTTTCTCTTTTTTTTGAAGCCCTGTCCCTGACTGTTCTCCCCTCTGCCCACAGCCAGCTCAAGTGCAAGACCCCATCAGGAGATGAGCCCTAGAAAAGATAATGGCATCCCAGAGGGCAAATAAATTTAGTGGTTATCCTTATTATAATATATAAATACGGTACAATGATTTA